GTATAATAATATATATATATATATATATATATATATATATATAAATAACTCCGTGAGTATTTTGCCATTAAAAGCCGAACAAACAGTTTATTTTCTATCCGTCTGTAAATCTTTCAATTCCACGAAACTTGCACGCCACTGTCGGCAACAGAAAATAATTAAACTAGGAACGTTATTCTTAATGAACGGAGTAATAAATTAGAGGTATATGTTCCCGAAATCTTGATGCCATCGGCAAAGTGGCGCGTTATTATAGCGGTTAATGTAGCGCGCTAACCGTCGAGATAAAAAGATCCCGAAACCTGCACCGTGAAGGTCAGCGGTGGTGCGGGCACACTTGACCTGGTTGCGACGAGCGTAGCGCCGACAGACAGGCGTCAGAGAGCGCAAAATTGCAACGCAAATACTCGAATTCGCCGTCGTAGACACATCACTTCTAATTTCGTCGACGGCTTCGTACTACGACTGTCGCACTACTACTGGCAAATCACACGAAAGAGATCGCAAAGGGAACCGCGTTGAAAACGATCATTATCTCAAGTAGGACGATCGTTTTCAACGATCTCTCTGCATTACGATCCAACGATGATAGTCGAACATGTACGTAAATATTCTGTCATAATAAGTGCTGTCACTTGAAACGAATCATTTGTGAGAAGTCTGACTGTCGGATCTGTCGATAAAAGCTCGCCTCTGAAAATAGGAGCTATCATTTAGAAACGCTAATTAAGTTCGAGCCGTATGTTATATTCCAAGTTATATCCTTTCACTGCCAGTCAATCCGATCATCGATAAATTCTATCGTCGTATGAGATGTATCCCCTAAAAATCACTCAAAACTATCTGACTTAAACACGTATGCGAGAGCTTCACGATCGCAATTAAGATCTGACAGAAAATCCCCCCCCCCATTTTTTTCCGCCACGAAAAAAAGTCGCGGAACACGATGCGAGAAATCACCCCTATGATTTGAAAGCATGAGCACCGTACTCGAAATACGACTAGGCGACCCCAGTTTTCTTATGAGGAGCGCAAAGGGAAGGGAAAAACGAGGGCACCTCTTTCGGCAGTGCTCTTTGGCCGCGGGCGCGCTACTACTGCCGAGGTCTCTCCCTCGTAGGGCTAATGCACAGAGGGATCCCGCTCGAGGGGTTGACCCAGTTAAGAGTGGAGTCAGGACCCGAGAGTGCGCGGTACGGACGCGTCCACGTCGCGGTACGTACTGAGCCGTTACCGCGTATATACGGTCTCTCTTTCTCTCTTCCTCCGACTAAAGCTGCGCGCGGTAAGGCCGCGAGGGCTCATTTCCCCTTTCGCGGTTCTCGCATTCTGCCGCCACCACCATCGCCGCCGCCACCACTGCCACCACCACTACCACCACCACCAGGAGATCGACCTTCGACGTAGCCGAGACGTCGTCGCCGAGACTACCACTGCTACCACCGCCGCCGCCGCCGCCGCTGCCGCCACCATCGCCGACGACGTGACCACCACCACCGACGCCAAACCCCTTCGAAGCATCCCCTGAAACTAACCCCTACCCGCGCTTTTCGACCAAGCTCCCCTCCATATCGATCAGTACTCGCGGTCCGCAGGCCGCAGCATCCAACGATGGGAACGCGCGCTTCTACACGTTGTCAACATGCTTAGCAGACCGAAATCCCATGGTGCGGGATAGTGACGGGCCCCAGCCACGAGAGCGGCCACATGCGTCCGCAGAGTCGTCGCCGCACATGACAAAATGATAGGAATTGATATATATTAAGATGCAAGGTCTTGTGCGACCACAAAAGAGATTCTACCTAGCTGCGAATTATATTTGAATAACTCATTTATGCGTAAGATTAGAAGAATTAATAATTAATTTAATTCTACTACCTTTATCCTTATCTCAATCTCTATACGATTCATTCATAAAATTTAATCATTGCAAATGTGCGCAAGGGCAAGCAGATTTTATTAAATTATCAAATCGCTCATTATGAAACATAGCTCGTAAAATTATATTGATATAAAAATACACGAGACGTTGAAAAAATTATTAACAAGTCCCTCGTTATAATTCGACATTAAAATTACATTCGGCCATTCAGCAAAACAGATTCTGATATAATTAATATTCCGCGTAAATCGTGATAAATTTCGGATTGGCCGTGCATTAACAGTATTTTTCATGAAATGTTACGAACGCGTCGCGCTGCAATGACGAAGAACAAATGCTCGTATTCCGGAAATCCCTTGCCCCCTCTTTAATTACCATGACACAAGTGCAAGCCGGTGCCATTTATTAATCGATTAAAACCACGTGCGTCCGCGTAACCTCGGCGCCAAACTTCCAAAAGCTTTCATCGAAGAGGTCTCATCGTTTGCAGAATGTAATATTCATGAGATGGCTAAATTCTCTATAAGCCAAATAACTAGATTAACATCTTAAAAAATTCATTTTCTCTCTCTTAAGATATTTATGTTTAGAAATATAGAATTTATTGATTATTCATCTTTTTGTGACTGCGATTAGTTATAAAACAATTTTAGATACGTATTCAAATTAATATTATATGTATATAAATAGTATCGAAAACTTCTTGATCGAAAACATTTTAAAGATAATGAATGTAAAAAATAATGACTGAAGGAACAAATGATCTTTTTAAAAAGAAATATGCACAGTCGCGTTAGACCACGATAAGACATTAGTTTGAGCTTTTCGTGTCGGGCAATCATTGCAGATAATGACGTGATCAGAAACCAATGCAGGCTTTCCGTGTCAAACAATCATTACCATGCTATTCTGAGTTGTTGAGCTAAGGTTGAGAGTTGATTTAATTTATGTTTCACAAATTATTAAAGAAATAATAAAATTAAATTAATAACATACGTTTCCTTATCGATAATATAATCATTTGTAACAGAGGACTTTCAACGAGCTTTAGCTGTCAAATTTATTGTTAAATAAATAGTTAACTTTTATATAGTTAACTCCAATATTATTTCTTAACTTATTATATTCTTATTTCTTACACAATTTTCTTTTAAGTGTGTACATAACATAGTAAAAGTTATAATAGCGTCTATAGTAAGTTAAAAAGATTCCTACAAATTTTGATTTTACGTTGGATTGTCATTTCTACATTGAATTTGCTTATCGAAAACGAGAGAATTCCTCTTTCTCACGCGTTGACACAGAAGTTTCTGCAAGATGCACTAAGGGCATTCCATTTGAGAAGGTTGACAGGCGCTATTGCAAAACGAAGTTCTGCACTCGCGCACTCAACCGCCCAAAGGCTGAGCGTAAAACTTCCGGTCGAGTGTGATTGCCACGGCAAAAAGCTGCCCGGGGCTTTACAACCTTCATTTCCCGACTTAATACGTTTCTTCGCTAAGGCGACAGTGAAATGGAGCGAAAAAAGGGAGAGAAAGAAACGAAGCCGAACCTCTCGTCGACCCGTCGCGTAGAAACTCGGTGACCTTCCGCTAAATACGTTACCCGATGCAATTGCGTCTTCGCACCATCGCCTTGCAAAAGGGACAGAAAATTTCACTTTCGTGGCCGAAAGTGTGTGTAACTTAAGATCACACATTTCCAGAGTTCTCGAGTCGCTACCAAAGAGTATGTACCTCGTTGAGCGCAAAGTTCTATCGTTCGCTGCGCTTTTTGTCACGATGAGCCGCACTGCTAAATAAGATAAAAGAAAAGAAACAAGATAAAACGCGGATTGCTGTCTTTTTTTATGATGGTATGATAAATCTTTCCTGTTAAAATAGTATAGCAAAGTACATAGATAAAATGTGTGAAATATTAGGTAATTAATTATTAATTAATATACCCTGTTTTAAAAGTATTAGAATAAATAGCTGTTTTGTAACTCGCAGCAACGAATAATAGGAGGGCGAATTATTTCCTAATCTGCTAAATTGAGTGAATTATAAAGGCACTTGTTTACAACAAACTTTTAACTTGTTGTAATTACCTGGATTTAACCACAGTTGAAAGTTAATAGCTTGTTGAGAACAATACCGAATTTACGTGACTCATCAAAACTGAGATATTATTCGCAGATATAAACATAATTAAAATATTCGTATGCATTCCCGCTATTACCAATTATTAATGCTCGAATTTATACAGAATATAAATATATAGATATATAGGTATATAGATATATATGTATAGTTATCCTATATAGTTATTATATAGAAATTTATTGGTACATGAAAATAAATAATTTTACGTCATTTAGTTCCGAATAGTTTTTCGTTTCAAATGTCTGACAAATGATATTTCTCAATACATAAAGTTACACAAATGCTCCGCATAATGAACTAATTATTACGAGATTCATTGAGTGAGCGAATCGCGCGGTCGAACGTGTAGTTGAATTTAAATGAGGTCACGCGAAAACGCGTCGGGTTTCACCCGCGTTATTAGCGGGTGACTATCGGATAGGATGCCTATTTAACAATAGACAATTAATTAATACACCCGCCTATTAGATTCTAGTGAATTCTAGTGAATAAACACGCCAAAATTGCCTGTTTTGAGAACAGTTCGCTGACTAAACGCATAACGCTACCTTTCACACTGTTTTTGAGAGTGAAATGATAAAGCTTGTGAAAGATAATAATGGGTTTGTTTGCTCGCGAAATGGCACAACCCAGTAACGTTTACGATAAAAAATGGTGATAAAACGTTGGTGAGATTAATACGTGCGAGATTAATCCTCGAAACGCGTTGTGACGTACTCGTTAGCAATAAATATGAAACCCAATACAAATCATAACAAATTCATGCGTTAAAATTTTATCAAAATGCCGATCGGCACTCTTTTAACACATTCAAATATGCAGATTGTACAACATAGGTCTAAAAAGATATATAGATACATACAGATATGCACGCGCGCACGAGTATATGCATGGAATGCATATACACAAATGAAAGACAATTATTACTTGTATCTTTTTACAAAATAATTATAAATAATTATATAAATAATATTCCATTTTAATTTACGATATTTTTAATGAACGCTGTACTATTCCATTAAAATGTAATTCTGATGTGTGTCTGTGCGCGCGCGTGCGTGTGTGTGTGTGTGTGTGTGTGTATACAATATGATTTTCGTTAATGATGGAATGTAAACCCATCGAATGGATAAACCATGAATCCCTTTTAGGTGTTTAATCCTTTGAGTCTTCCTAGGACATCGGGAGAATATCTTCGCTATCCAGTTTCAGTGTGCTATCGATCTGGCTATGAAACCATATTGGTCAACGTGTTGGTTAGATGCACCAATTTGCACCTCAAAGGATCAAGCTAGTTGTTATGAGTAACAGTAATTTCATTGTCTTCTGTTACCACTAACGGTTGTATGTTTCTTTCATCGAATAAATAGGTACATGTTATATCTGTCATACTGTGCCAAAATTT